ACCAGATGCTAGTAGCACCCAAGATGTCTCCAAACCCTGCCATTATGGTCCCTCTGGGTCAAAACCAGCCCCAGGTAAGAATCATTGGGTTAATCCAATCACCAAGTGGTTATTCACTCAAGAAGCCATCTGCAGAAAACGTAATATTTTTATTTCACTTATCTTTGCATATTTGGTCTTTCTTCTATTCTACTGTATGGATTTTGCAGAGTAATATATATTTTATTGTTATTGCTGTTGTTAGGAGCTGTCATAGCGACCTGAGGTACAACACAACTTTAACACTTCCTGGTCCTGCATCAGTATCAGAATCGTTGCCATGAGTAAGCCCATTGCTGCTGCCATGGTGCCATTCTGTTTTTTTGGGATGATCCTTTTTTTGCTGAGTCTCCATAACAAGTATGATGTCCTTCTCCAGGGACTAGTCTCTCCTGATAATATGTCTGAAATACGAGGGATGAAGTCTGGCCATCCTGGCTTCTAAGGAGCATTCTAGCTGTACTTCTACCAACACAGATTGGTTTACTCTTCTGGCAGTCCAGTACTTTGAATATTCTCCTCCAAACACAAACCACAAATGTGAGTAAATGACAATGGTATTACTACAGAGGATTCTCTTTTAACCAGCTCTCCATAATGGACTCACCAGATAACCTGTGTTCTTCTTTCCCTTTAAAAGACACACTGACGAATGCCCACAGTGCCCAGAGGGCTCCTCTCTAGTAGGCCTCAGGCTCTTCTACTTCCACCACACTGAGTTTTATGCTCAAGAGTGCACAGTGTCTGTTCTCACACCTACTTATGCAATGGTCTATGTTATTGTCGGCAAAGCATTATAGATTTGGTCATTTCAGAAGAAACCACAGAATTGCTATCACTAAACCCAAATGCCAAGAAAGGCAATTGGAAAACTACATCAAGATTGGAAACCACATTTAAACCTTAAACCAAAATTGTCCCATGAAGTCATCATTAAACCAGCAAACAATTTAGCTCATTCTGTAAAGAATGTTCATTTTGTACTCTTTTCACAAAACATCTTTATGAGATTAAATGGATGAGAGCAATTTTGAAACACAGAGAAAAACTTTAAGAAAAAGGGAGTCTAAGGTAAAGGCAGTGAAATACTCTGGACAGAGACAGTGAGAACAGGAGCACAACGTGATGTGATGGAACTACTGTCAATGAGCTGTACATGCAAACACTGTTGAATCTGAAATGTTGTGCTGTGTATACTTGTGCACATAAAGAAAAAAAGAAAGCATTCAAGGGGCTTCAAAAAGTTCATGGAAAAAACAGAATTTTTCAACAAACTTTTGGAAGCCCCTGTGTATATACTCATACATCGTTAAGTTAAAATAAAAACACTTATGATAAACAGGCTATTTAAATTCCACACCCTAAATGATTTTTTAAACTAACCGCCCTATAATACCAGTCCCAGCTGTGTTAGATATGGAGAAATCTAGTCAAATGATAAACTATGATCAGAGAAAGGACACAAACAAGGTACAGTGAAAAGAAAGACAAGGGTTGTGCATACCTGGTGGGTAATTAGATATCAGACTGCAAATCAACGGCTTTGGAGAACAGTGTACATATTTATATTCCATAAACTGGTAGTTTCATGGAATGTTATATAAGTTAGTCTCTGAGACTGAGTCATCCTTAGACATAAAACCATAAACAACAGTGATCTCAAATGTATCAGAAGTCAATATATTATAAATAAATGGTCTCAAATACAGAAGTGCTCAAACTAGATTGCTGTTTGTTGCAATTATGTAAAAAAAAAGAAGGCTCCTTCTCTACAAAACCTTGGTCTAGTCTAATTTTTTTTCCAAGTGAACAAATCTCAAATTTAATTTCTCTGAGTTGCGATGCTGTTTGAAAGCTGCTCTTTCAGAAAGTGGCTTGGGTAAGACTGTAGAACCTGGGTGAGTGAGTAAGGTACCAGAGGTAAGGACATCAGGCTTGAGCAGTGGTCTAGTGAGAAGTGGGGAGGAGGCTATGCATATGAAGAAGAGGTAACAGATTCCAGAGATGCTCAGGAGACAGCATATGAATTACGTAATGAATTATAATTATCCATTCATAGAATAAGATCCTGTTTGTTGTGAAAATTAGTTTGCATGAAAGTTAATCAGATCAATCCAAAATAAAAACATTTTTTAAAAAAAAGAATCAAAGGACATACTGCATTGGGCAAACCTGCTGCAAGAGACCTCATTCAAGTGTTCAAGAGCAAATATGTCAGTTTGAGGACTAAGGTGCACCTGGCCCAAGGTATGATATTTTCAATCGCCTCATATCCATGTGAAAATTGGGCAATGAATAATGAAGAGCGTAGAAGAATTGATGCATTTGAATTATGGTGATGAAGAAGAATATTAAAGGTACCATTGACTGCCCGAAGAACAAACAACTCTGGGTTGGAAGAAGTGCAGCCAGAATCACTCTCATACTTTGGACTTGTTATCAAGAGGGATGTGTCCCTGGAGAAGGACATCTCATGCTTGAAAGGCCAAAATCTACCACTTAACCACCAGTGCTGCCAGAACTCAACACTCAACTCATGGCGAGTCCAGGTGTGCAGAGTGGAACTGCTTTATAAGGTTTTCAAGGCTGTTACCTTTCGGAAGCAGATCTCCAGACCTTTCTTTCGCATCACTGCTGAGTGAATTTGAATCACTGACCTTTAGGAGTAAAACTTAAGTTCTCTCAGATATACACATGGCCATCCTATGTGACAAATAGTGTCTGCCCATTCTTTCTTAACCATTTTCTCTGACATTAAGAGAAGTCCCTACCAAGATATCCCTAGAGAGCATTTCTGATTCATAAGAAGCCCACATCCATTTGCCCTGAGCTTGTCCCAATTCCCTCAATTGTCCAAAGTGGTGGTTTTAATTCAGATAAATGAAGAAAATTCAATAGATTGTCCTTATTCTCCTATACAAAAGTGTCAAAAACTATAAAATACTTATGAGCATATTTATGAAGAAAGGTATGAAACATATGTGGGGAAAACAATAAATGTCTATGAAAATCCGTAAAACAAATTCTGGACAAATGGCAAGATCTGATCTGTTCTTGGATGAGGACATGTTGTATCATAAAGCATCAAAGTCCCCCAAATCTAATATGTCATTTCAATGAGCCTCCACACAGAATTTTGTTTGCCTGTTCATTTTTAGTGTTTGGAATTGAATAAATGTTTTAAAGCAT